AGATCGTCTTTCCATTCCCAGATGCTGAAACACTGTGCCAACTTCCCTCGGGCACTGGAAGTCCTGCTTAATGCCTATCCTTGCATCCCATCGTGTGACACCTGGGTGGAGGCAGTGCTCCCGGAGCTGTGGCAGGTATGACACACAGGGCTCTTGCCTAGGGGTATGAAGAGGAAGGTGAGTCACAGGCCTCTCCCTCCAGAACCAACTTCATGGAGGGAGGAGCAGGAGGACCTTGAGCAGAAAAGGATGAGCACATGAAACCCTTGAGTTACAGGTTCCATCCACTAGTGATATGGGTTGACCTGCAACCCCATGCACCTGTCCAGCCTCTCACCCACAGCTCTGACTTGGGCACTGTGCCAGCATATCTGTGGTACAGACCTGCCTGAGACCCTGTCCTGAAGTGTTAGACCCAGCCCCATTACCACTGCAGGGCCTCTCTGGCTCTGAACCTAAGTCCTTTCAGATGTACCAAACACCCAGGTGTCTACATGTTGCAAAATCTCGGGGCCCCCACCTCTGGGTTGCACCCAGATGGTAAGACAGAGTCAAGGGTGATCCTTTTTCCCTCCTGGCCTAGGAGCACGAAGCCTTCTACAGCTCGGCTGTGAGCATGGTGAATCAGCCGAGGAGGCTGCAGCACCTGGCCCGACTGGCTGTGCGTGTTCAGCTGGGTGGTCGCTGCCGGCAAGCTGCCACCAGGCTCCCACTGCCACCGCTCCTCAGGGACTACCTGCTGCTGCGTGTGGAGGGACGGATCCAGTGAGCCCTGTGCCAGGTCACTGCCAGTGTGTCCTGCCCCCTCCTCTAGAGAACCAATTGCTGGCCCTCTGCATGCTCTCCAGGACCAGCTCATCCCTTCACTGCCCTCCACTGGCCCCTTGATTTTTTCTTTTCCTCAGTACTGGGAATTCAACCCAGAGACTCATGCATGCTAGGCAAGCCCCCAATCTCTGAGCCACACCCCTATCCCCAAGCCCCCCCACTGGATTCTCTTTTTCTTGTGGTACTGGGGACTAAACCCAGAGCCTTGTGCATGCCAGGCAAGTGCTCTGCCACTGAGCTACATCCCCAGCCCCTCCAATGGCTTCTTGAGCCACCTGCTGACCTCCTTCTCCAGTGGAAAGGTTGTACACTCAGCCTGTCCCAGACTCATTCTTTGCCCATTTCCCCATCTTGTGCTGAAGTGGATGGTCCTTCTCCACTTAAGCCAAGAGCTGATGACCCTTGTTGCCTTTTCTCCTTGCTACCCATATACCGGTTCCACCACTGAACAGTGACAGACCCTGAGCCAGGTGTGGTGGTATATATCTGTAATCCCAGCACTTAGGAGGCTGAGGCAAGAGAATCATGAGTTCCAGGCCAGCCTGGATTACACTTAGAAAAAAAAGAAAAATGAATCCTCTAGACCTTGACCTCTGTCATATTTCTTGGCCTCCCAACTCCCTTCCCCAGGTCCTGTAATCCAGATTTAATAAACTGGTACCAGTTGCTGAATCTGACCCACTCTTCTTTGCTTCCAGGTGTCTGCAGGCATGGTTCCCCTGTTTGGAAAACCCTTCCACCTTTTTAGGCCTGGTCAAGGCTGATTTGACCCTCGGGACTTAGTTTAAATAGCACTATCTCTGCAGACCTTCCTTTAACCACCCCAGCAGGGTCCTGCCTTGGCACGGTACTTATTTAAGAACCTGTGTCTGCCTACACGAGGCAGAGGCTGGGACTGTATTCCTTGAACAGGCATTTCAGCAAATGTATGAGGCCTGGGACATTTAGGATGTGTTCCTCCCACCCCCAAGTAGTGCATGGTGTCTTAAACAGCAGTGCTATATATAGATACCTATACACATAACCACCAGCTGTCCCCCTCTCACTTCTGGTTCTGGTCTGAGATTCAGAAGTGCCACCATTCACCTTTAGGAGGAAGCTTTTCAAAGCAAGTCTGTTTTATGAATGCAAATAAAGATTTGCGCACAGAACGAAACTATGGACATTGTTGGCCTTAAATGTGAGTACGGTTCCTGTCACTCCATGTTTATTTTCCCTCTTTGTGCTCTTCTGTGGCATCCAAGTTTTCTGCCCTGAGCAAGTGTTACTGGTGGCAGGAAAAAGGCCATAGGACACAAGGCTCCCCTCAGACCAGAGCCTGTGGTAGAGGGACAAAGGGGTGCACAGCAACCGGTTGGCCTGTCCTTTTCTGGGGGATCCTGAGCTATCCAGTCCTATTGTCAGTTGGAGTGGCCAGCAGAGACAGCAGAGACAGGGATCAGGAGCCTGGGTCTGCAGCCTCCACTCAACCCTTTTCCAGGGACTTGCATTTACACAGATCCCCTTTCACCAGCACTAGACAGTCTTTGACCTGGTTCAGCAGAGCAGCAGCTTCCCCTTTCTAGACAAAGTTTTGTTTTAGTTTTCATGGACCCAAAGGCCTGAGAGAAGAAAAGAAAATCCCCCCTAGTTCTGGGCCCAGCTGGGACCTCACTCCAGAGAACATGCTGAACTTTCTACCCTGCACAGTAGGCAGACCCCAGCAGCCTGGCCTTTTCTGTAACGTCTACAACCTGCTGGAAAACAAACAAAAACCAAAAAGATGTATGTGACTAAATGTATTTTGTGACAGGAAAAGATTTTCCAGTAAAGAGCATAAAAGACTAATTGAGCAAGGCACAGAAGAGGTGTAAATTTGACTTTATAAGCCAGGCACCAGTGGCTCATATCTGTAATCTGAGCTACTCAGGAGGCAGAGATCAGGAGGATCACAGTTCAAAGCCAGCCTGGGCAAGTAGTTCTCAAGACCCTATCTCAAAAAACCGTTCAGAAAAGAAGGGCTGGTGGAGAGGCTCAAGGTGTAGGCCCTGAGTTCAAAACTCCAGTACTAAAAAAAAAAAAAAAAAGATTTAGAGGCAAAAGTCACCATGTTATAGCCACCATAACTGCATATAAAAAAGCATGAAAATACCTAAGTTCAATAGTTTAGGGAAAACAAACATTGCATAAACAACATCATGAAGAATGTCCAAAGAGTGAAGACCCATGGTTGTAGCTCAAGTGGTAGAGCACCTGCATAGCAAACTTAAGGCCCTGAGTTCACATCCCATACCAAAGGAAAAAAAAAAACAAACCCAAAAAACAAAAAACTATGTTGCATGGCTCAATGGTACACACCTTTAGTCCTAGCTACTCCAGGGGTTGAGATGGATCACTTGAGTTCAGGAGTTAGAGATCAGCTAGGGCAATACAGGGAGACAATCTCAAAAAAAAAAAAAATCACCTCAGAGCTAGTGTCTCACACTTACAATCCTAGCTACTTGGAAAGCTGAGATTGGGAGAATGAGAGCTCAAGGCCAGCCCAGGCAGGTATGGCTCAAGTGGTAGAGCACCTGCTTTGCAAGCCCGAAGCCCTGAGTTCAAACCCCACCAAAAAAAAAAAATCACTTTGTGCTGAGGACCTGGCTCAGTGGTACAGTGTTTCCCTGGCACATGGAAGGCCCTGAGTTCATTTCTACCACCACAAAACACAAAACAACAAAGTACAAAAGCAGGGTAAAACAGAAGGGGGCTGTGACTCCCACAGTAATCCTAGCTAGTTGGGAGGTAGAGAACAGGAGGATGGAGGCCAGGTGCAGCCCAGGCAAAAAATTCTGGAGATTTCATCTCAACCAGTAAGAGGTGTGGTGGTTCACATCTGTCACCCCAGCTACCCTGCAAATGTAAAATAGGAAGGACTGAGGTCCAGGCTGGCCTGGGCATAAACTGGAGACCCTATTCAAAAAGCAACTTAAACCAGGCGTCGGTGGCTCACGCCTGTAATCCTAGCTACTCAGGAGGCCGAGATCAGGAGGATCACGGTTGGAAACCAGCCCCGGCAAATAGTTCCGCGAGAACCTATCTCAAAAAAAAACCCTTCACAAGAAAGGGCTGGTGGAGTGGCTCAAGGTGTAGGCGCTAAATTCAAGCCCCAGTGTCGCAATAAATAAATAAATAAGCAAGTTAAAAAGGGCGGGGGGCGTGGCTCCTGCAGCACACAGGCCTGGCAAGCAGGAGACCCTGAGTTAAAATCCCAGTAAAAACAAGGAAAACTAATCTATGGTGATAGATACCAGAAAAACCAGTGATTCTTTGTAGGTTGGTAACTAGAAGAAAACGAGTGTTCACTTGATTCAAACTATCAAAGAGCTCTTCGCTTATGTTTAGCCCTGTCTGCATTATTTATACTTTAATCAGTTCACCAACCGCCCCCGACCCCACATATTTTTAGAAATTTTAATCTCAAAAACCTGGATAAATTCTTGGAAATTGTAATTTGTTTCCTTGCCTGTTTTTGATTGCTTTTCTGTGGGCGTGGTGGTTCATGCCTGCAATCCCAGCTGCTCAGGAGGCTGAGGCAAGCGGATCGAAAGTTTGAGGCAGCCTGGGCAACTGAGACCCTGTCTCAAAATACAAATTTCTTTTATTGAAATAAAACTTTAACTGGAGCGGTAGAGTACTTGCTGAACAGGCTCGAATCCCTGGATTCAGTCCCCAGAACCGCAAGTGGAAAAAAAAAAGCGCTGAATGTGTGTCTGCTTTGAAATGCTTTCCCGCCATATCCATCGAGGTTTCACACTACCTGGAGCCGCACTCCTCGAGAATTGCAAGATGAGTAAAACTTGTGTCCTCTCCCGGACTAACCCAGGGCTGGGTTCTTGCAGGTCAGAAAGACCAGACCTTACTGATCACACTAACCTGGAGGCCGGTGCGCATCGCCGAGCAGTAACAAATCCCATCCGTCCCGGAGGTAGCGAGCGAGGCCCAAAGAATTAGGTTGCAGACTGAACCCTCGTCCAGAGTCCGCCCAGCAGCGCCAGCCTGGGAAACCTTCCAGACACGGGCCACGCCCCTTTCCCAAGCACCTCCCCGGCTCACTCCTCCCCTTCAGGCCTCGGCCTCTCAGCCGGGACGCCTAAGGCCCCGCCCACAAGGCGTGGCTCAGCACCAGGAGGCCCAGGATCCCGCCAACAATGACTCCGCCCCTCCTTCCGCTGAGAAACCTGTCCCTTTTATTTAAAGATACATTTACGTCAGCCCGCCTTACGTAGCGTTGCGTCATTACTGCCAGGCGCGGAGGCAGGACTTCCTGTCCCTCATTCTAACAGTTTCCGGGAAAAACCGGAAGAGACGGGACCCTGGACAGAATCGGGGATAGCCAGCCCCTTCCCCGGCCCCTACGGAAAGACGAGTTTAAGGGCCGTCCTGGCGGAGTCAAAACATTTATCCTGGCCTTGTCAGGTGAGGACCTCCTTCCCCATCGAGGCACAGTAGCAGTCCAAGCCCCCTTTAATTTCCCATAACTCCCTGCGTTCTCAAGCCCCGCCCAGTCCCCCAGCCCCGCCCCGAAGTTTGAGGGGTGTGGATGGTTTGTGACCCCCTCACCTGACTCTACCCATCGCGGGCTTAGAATGGCTGGGCTTGGGTACGACCGCTGGGACCCGGCAACCCTTCGACTCGGGGACTCATGAACTCCATTCTGCTGCTGCGGGAATAAGACCGCCTAGCCGAGGACCCTTCGCCTTAGAAAAAACAGGGCTAGGGACCCCTCCTCACCGCGCCGTCAGAATCGCTCACAAGCTAAGGAGAAAGCAAAGGCCTCGGAGGAAGGAGACCTGGGGACCTGCCCGGCCCCTCCCACCACAGTTCCCTGTGTCTGTGCCAGTCGTTTTGTCTCTCTTCGCCGCAATTTCTTTTTCCTTAAATCACAGTTAGTGACATTAACCTTCTTAGCATCATCAGAGGTTAGTTTTGGGAGTAATACATATTTGCTACCATTTGTTTATTGAACTATTACCATGTGGCAGGCATTGTGCTAATTATTTTGCTTCGATGATTTCACGTCATCTTCAAAGCAACCTTATGAGGTAGGTACTATTTTTAACCCCATTTTACTGATGAGGAACCTGAGGCTCTGAGCAAGTCGTTGGAGGTTACATAGTAATTAGCTATCATTTTCCTCACTCCCGGGCCAGTTTATTAAATAAGGATGTAGAAATTATTCAGATGTTGATGTTTTCCACAAATACTGTTGAAGCAACTACTATGATATTCCGCTGGGCGCTTTGGGACAAAGAGAAAGCCATGTGATTCTTGTCTTCTGGGAGAGTAATAGAGAGATGGACAGGTAGATAAGCATAATGAAGTTTTATAGGTGCTGTGAGAATAGCCGGATAATGATAATCACTAGATGCATTTGCCCGGGGACAGCTGTGAGAGCTGCAGATTCTCCGAGCGAAAGAGTAGGTACTCCAAGGAGCAGGCCGAGATCCTTCTTGCCTTTTGAAGAAACTGCAGAGGGAGAACCTTCACAGCACCAGGAGACCCTGAGATGGGGCTTGTGAGATCTGCTGTCATTTCCTAATCAATTCACTTATGCAGTGGTTTCTGCTGTCGTGACCCCAGGGTGACCCAAGAGGAGTCACCTCGTGCTTGTCCCATGTGGCTCCCCAGGTCTTGCCAGAAGGGTTTCAGAGGCGGCATAGTGTCTTGTCTGCTGGTGGCCTCTGCAGAGTTGTCCTTTTGGGTGATCAGACTCTGCTGTGGATGGTAGGTCAGTTTTCTTTGGTTCTTGAGATCTGGCATGGATTTGTGACCACCTATGAGATGGGAATCAAATGAGACAATCTGGCAAGGGTGGCTGCACAGTCTTTCCAGAGGAGCTCCAAAATAAAAGATTCAGCCTTTCGGCCTCTCTCTAGAGGCTGCTCAGAGGACATATGTACTTGTCCAGGTGTTAGAAATCCCAGGAAAACTCTGGGCTCACAGAATTCCAGATGTTTTTCCCCACCAATAAGCAACAAGCAGTAGTAGCTGTAGCAGCAAAGCTGTGAGGTTTTCCTTATTATTCGTGCTCATATTCATGCTCCCCCTTGTACAAGACACCAAGCTCGGCCAGGCACCAGTGGCTCACACATGTAATCCTAGCAGAGATCAGGAGGATCAAGGTTCAAAGCCAGCCATGGCAAATAGTTCAAGAGACCCTATCTCGAAAATACCTAACTCAAAAAAAAAGGGCTGGTGAAGTTGCTCAAGTTGTAGGTCCCGAGTTCAAGCCCCAGTGCCACAGAAAAAAAAAAAAAAGATAGCAAGCGCCTTTTTTTTTTTTTCCCATGCTGGCTCAGTTAGAATGTAAACAAGTTAGAAACGCAGTTGTAACCCCTCAGGCTCTGCTGATACTCTCTCCCTTTGTTCCTGCAGTGTGGACCCTGTCAGCAACCAGGCCATGGAGCTCTCTGATGTCACCCTCATTGAGGGTGTGGGTAATGAGGTGATGGTGGTGGCAGGTGTTGTGGTGCTGATTCTAGCCTTGGTCCTAGCTTGGCTCTCTACCTATGTAGCAGACAGCAGTAGCAACCAGCTCCTGGGCACTGTTGTGTCAGCAGGTGACACCTCTGTCCTCCACTTGGGGCATGTGGACCAGCTGGTGGCGGGCCAAGGCACCCCAGAGGCAACTGAACTCCCCCATCCATCAGAGGGTAATGATGAGAAGGCTGAAGAAGCTGGCGAAGGTGGGGGAGACTCCACTGGGGAATCTGGAGCTGGGAGTGGTATGGAACCCAGCCTTGAGCATCTCCTTGACATCCAAGGCCTGCCCAAAAGACAAGTGGGCCTGGAGAGTGGCAGTCCAGAAGACCCGCTGAGACCAGAGGAGAGCACTTGCCTCCCTCCCAGCCCCGGCTTCATCAATGTGCGGCTCAAATTCCTTAATGACACTGAAGAGCTGGCTGTGGCCAGGCCAGAGGACACTGTGGGTGCTCTGAAGAGGTGAGTGTGTTGGAAAATGGGAGGCTGCTTGTGCCCTGTGCCCATAGACCTTGGCTCTGAATGCAGACGGGAACAGTAGGAGAGTGTAAAGGCAAGCCCCTACTAAGGGCAAGTGGGAGACTTCTTAGAAACCCACCTGTCAAGTTTCTCCCCTCTGCCTTGCTTTCTTGGTGCAGGCCTGTTTATTCTTTCATCCTTCATCCTGTCTTTTCTTCCATCTTTTATCCTTGCAGCAAGTACTTCCCTGGACAAGAGAGCCAGATGAAACTGATCTACCAGGGCCGCCTGCTGCAGGACCCATCGCGCACACTGCGTTCCTTGAACATTACCGACAACTGTGTGATTCACTGCCACCGCTCACCCCCAGGGGCAGCTGTTCCAGGTCCCTCAGGCTCCCTGGCCCCGCCAGCCACTGAACCACCCAGCCTTGGTGTTAATGTGGGCAGCCTCATGGTGCCTGTGTTTGTGGTGCTCTTGGGTGTGGTCTGGTACTTCCGTATTAATTACCGCCAGTTCTTCACAGCACCTGCCACTGTCTCCCTGGTGGGAGTTACAGTCTTCTTCAGCTTCCTAGTATTTGGGATGTATGGACGATAAGGACATAGGGAGAAAATGAAAGGCATGGTCTTCCTCCCTTATGGCCTCCCCGCTTTCCTGGCCAGATCTGGGCCCAAGGCCCTGGGAGGGAGAGACGAAAAGGATGTGGTGGGTATCATGTCCGTAAGATACGGGAGGCAGGTGGGGCATCCCCTCATGTCCACAGGGGTGCAGACATCCCCTCTGTGTAAGCACAACTCAGGTAGACACAGGGATGTCATCTTCCTTCTCTAAGAGTCCAGAAGGAGTTCAGAACCATTGGCCAAGCTCATTGGGAAGCCTGGGCTCTAAGGATTCCCTCCCAGTTGTGCCCCTAGCCTTTCCAGCATCCTGCATGTCTGCCTCCTAGCACCTAGGAGTGCCTGCTGGGGCAACCTAGCATGGCCCCAGCATACTTCTGTAATGGAGCATCTCTCCACTCCTTAGTTGAGTGTCTATCTTTTGAGACTGAAATTGCATAGGGATGAAGACTGCAACCTTTACTATAGATACCCAGCCACTGCCACCTCCTCCCTCTACCCCTTTGACAGGAATAGGGTGTTCTCCCTTCTTTCAAAGCACTTTGCTTTTTTAAAAATAGTCCTTCACAGAGCTCAGTCAGAAAGGGGTTGATGCACAAGGCCAAGCCCCCAGCATTGGGAGAGGCCAGGCCACAGCTGCTGCTACCCTAGGCCTAAGGCTGTAAGAGAGCATTGGCCTTCAGCCAGTGTCCTGCCCTGCCCAGCTCCAAGGACAAGCTCTGGGTATGGGTCACCAGGCTCTAGGCCCTTGCCTTTGTGGCTCTTGGATAGTATCTGTGAATAAACTTCCATTTTGTGGCTGTGGCGCCTTCTGTGACATAAGAGAATGGCTTTGCTCTGCCCTCAGCAACATGGTAATGAGGGTGGGTAGGCCAGGCTACCAATGGGAGATGCAGTTTATTTACACCAGCAGCCATGGGGGCAGAGGGAATACACAGCGTTTACAAAGTTAGCTACCTGTACAGGATGGATTACATATGCAAAAATAAAAATCTCAAGACCACAGGACAGCGTGAGCCCCACCCCCCCCTCCCCCAATGACCCCAGCATGCGGTAATGCCAGGCGGGTGGCCCCTGGGCATGCGGGGGGGAGTGATGCATGGAAGGAAAAGCCACCGGCCATGGAAATTAGTACAGAACCCCCGCCACACACTCAGACACATGATAGGATACAGGGTGGACGACACCTAGCCAGGGTGGGGAGGATGGGAATTGAAACCCACAGAGCCTGCTGTTAGAGTGGGGAGCTCCTAGCCCCTGTTCAACTACGTGGTGGGGGTGGGAGGCACTCTCTCCAGAAGGAAAGGGGTTTGTTCCCTCAGGGTCCCTGCTGGACCAAGCCCATCTCTTACCCAGCCTGGGCAGGGGGCTCTGCCCTGAGGGTGGGCCAAAGAACAGTGGGGAAGTTTATGTGGACAAACCAGTTTCCAAAACTACTCCCCACTTCTCCCTCCTCCAACTAGAAGGGCAGGGCGAAAGGAAGAGGCCAGAGGGGACAGGGTGAATTAGGGCCTGAGCTGCAGCTGCCTCTCAAGGAAGAGTGGCCTCTTGGCCTTCCTCCCCTCACCTTCAACAGATTCCAAGCATGTACTTGGAAGCCACTGGAAGCTCACTGAACTCCTCCTCTCCCTCTGGCTTCCCTTTCTAGGGAGAAGGATGTGGAGGGCCAAGAACAGAGGAGCCCAGGCCCCAGAATTTATTCTAACTTCTGCCAAAATTGGCTTGGCTTTTTAAAAAATAATCACAATACTTGGGTTAAAAACCAATTTGTAACCAGGCATCAGCCACAATCAGAACAACCCCAGGGGGAGACTGGGGTTCTAGATAGGGTATGCAACCCTATCTGTTGTTCCCTTAACCCTCCAGGGTCCCTAACCCAAATCAGTCCAATCAGTCCTGGGTACTAGCTACCCAAATGTGAGAGTGGCAGGGGGCATGTCCAGCAAGTGCCAGAGAACTCGGCTCAGGGTCAGCTCCATCCCTGTCAGCTCTGCTCCCAGCCCAGACCATGGTCCTCCAGTTCGGCTCCGGGTGGTGATGGTGCCCACATGGAGGTGGGACAGTACATCTCTTCAGGATGTAGGTCAGACAGGTGGGCACCCTGGCATGACATTCCCACAGAAGGGCAATGACACCCCAACCCCTCCACTGACATCCTGAAACACAGCAACCACTCTCTTCCCACCCCACTCCTAGCAAAGGGGGAGAGGCACAAGATTTAAGATTTTCCTCAGAGCCCCAAACCACAAGTACAGAATAAATAACTTAAAAGCGGCAAAGGAAAGGGAAATAGGGCAGGCTTTGGAGGCAGGAGCACTGAGAGGAACTGAAGCTGGTCAAGGTGAGGGGGTGGCAAGCAGCAGCTGGGAACTCAGGCTGCCCCAGCAGGGCAGGGCAACAGGGCAGGGTGGGCAGGAGGAACATGGGGCCACCCCAGGAGGGTGAGGCTGGGCCCCTTCCTGGGGCAGGGAATGAGGTAAGAAAACATTTCAAATAAAGCAGCACCGTTCCCTCTCACCTTGGGGCCCCACTCCTCACCAGTCCTGGGTGTGGGAGGGATGGCAGGGGGAGTAATTTTGATCCGCAGCTCCCTCTTCCTACCCTCCCATTCCATCCCTTGAAGCTGTAGAGACTGAAGGCCCTTTCCTGGCACCCAACAAAAGGACAGCTCCTGCTGCCAAGGAGGCCCCTGGGGACTGAAGGGAAGGGCTGCCCCTGTGAGGGGCAGGAAAGGCGGCGGCAGTTCTGGGCGCCTACCTCAGCACACAGTACTCTGTGCCTGCCGACCCCTGGGACTGGGGGCATCTGACAGGACTGCACACAGACAGAACACGCACAGCCTTGCCCCTCAGCTCCAAGCACCGGACCCATTCACATTGCTGAAGGCAGCTGGGGGAGACCCCCTCCAGGCTCAGCTTCTAACCCACGGCCTCCCAGGTAGCCACAACGCCCCTCAGCAGGGCTTAGTCCAGTTCCTGGGGTGGGGGACAGGCAGTGCCCTGGCACAGTGCCCAGGTCAGGCCCCTGGCCTAGCTGGACATCCAGTAACTCACAGAATAAATAGGAAAACTGCCTCCCCACCAAACTTATGTCCAAGGCATAATACATCCAGGTCTGAGTCCTGCACACCAAGGGGTCGTGCTTCATTGCAGAGGACCTTGACACCCCCCAGGGGTGCATAACTAGATCCTCTGCCTGCGCGGCCCACCAAGCTTCCCAAGCCCAAACCCCCAGCAGCCGTCCATGTGCCAGGCTATGCCACCTGGGTGGGGGTCGGGAGAGAGGGCTCTGCTCAGCCAAAGGCTATCCCTTGCACCCGAGTCAGTTGATGTCATCATAGATGCTGGGCGTTGGGGGAGCCGGTGGCTTTGGCTTCTTCTTTTTGTTGGAGCCCAGGCTGGAGGCAGTCCCTACCAGGCTCAGATGGGATTTCTTTTTCTTGGTTTTCCGTGACTCAGAGCTGTTGGAACCTGAAAAGAGGCACGATGGATGAGTGGTGTATAGAAGGAGAGGTGGTGCCCCCAGGCCTTTGGGCAGCAAGCCCCTGGGACCCAACTGCACCCATACCTAGACCCCATCCCTGATTTTCACTCGTCTTCGAGGAGCCTGAATCAGAAGGTGAGAGATCAGAGGAGCCATCCCACTGAAGCCGGCTGATCAGGGCCTGGCTGTCAGTCATGTCAAAACTGTCATTATCCAGGGAGCTCTCGACCTCCGGAAGGACTCTGGAAAGGGAAGGGCCCAAAGAAGGGGTTTAGGATATTGATCCCCATCCTAAAACACGACAACCCATCACCCATCTGACAGAGTCACTTACGCTGAGGGCCCAAGGAAATAAATCCGCACAGTTCGCCTCTGCTCATCAGTGTGCTGGGGGCAGCGCAGGGACCTGGTGGGGACAGAATTATCAGACCCTGACAAGGAAGGGAAGGGGTGAGTGGAGAGCCCTAGAGGGTGGCCTAAGTAAGGCCTGACTATTGGGAGGGGAGGGAAGTGGAAGGGTAGGAATCCCACTGCTCAAATCCAGGCATAATCTGGACCCATGTGCAGGACCAGCCCATAGCCCCATTTCTTATTTCTGTGCTCACCTTGTGCACATCTTCTTGGTGTGTTCAGAAATCACCCCACATTGCTGGAAGAGGAATATAAGCTGAAAGGAGGGATCAGGGGAACCTGCAGGGGAACCTACTCTAGACACTTTTTTTTTTTTTTTTTTGTGGTGCTTGGGCTTGAACTCAGGGCCTATACCTTGAGCCACTCCACCAACCTTTTGTGTTGGGTTTTTTCAAGATAGGGTCTCACAAACTATTTTACTGGGCTGGCTTCAAACCACAATCCTCCTGATTTCTGCCTCCTGAGTAGCCAGGACTAGGCATGAACCACCTGTGCCTGGCTTAGACATTCTCTTCTGCACTTATTCTATACTGCACAAGCAGAAATGGCCCTGAAGGGTGGGGCGGGGGAGGGGGGCAAAGCAAAGAGGCTAGGAAATCTGCTTCCAGAAAGAGAACTCTATGGCCCCCACCCGCTATGTCACCAGCCTCCTTTAGGGTCTTGACCTCTGCCTGTAGCTCCAGCCCATTCCAAGGGTCCCCTGCCCCAGTTCCTCACCGTAGTGAGCAGGCTACGAAGCTCCTCCGGCCCCAGGGTCTCATAGCTGATCCCAGTTGAGTTGCTATACTGTGAGAGAACCAGAAGTATGGGTCAGAGGAGAGAAGAACAGACAAAAAAGGTACGGGGGTGGGAGTGGACAATCCCATCCTCCTGCCTCTGTGAGAGTTTTCCAAGTGAGTCCTTCCAACCCACTCGCACACCAATGAGGTGGGATCCAGAAAGACCATAAATAATGATAACCAATAACTACTGCTTCCAACTACCAGCATTCTGACTTCACTTGTTCAAATCCCAGTCACCTCACAAAGACAACAAGAAGGAGAATGAGGGGCATCCTCTACTCACCTTAAAAGGATCCGAATTGCTAAGTTCCCCTGAAGAAGAAAAAAGAAGGGGAAGGGTGTTTGATGCAGAGGTACAGACAGAGAACCCTGAAAATAACCAGAGAGGAAGTGGGGGTGACAGAAGGATCACAGGCCCTCCCTCACACCCCTACTCATCCCTCCTCCTTTCACCCTTTCACAATTCCCAGAAGACACAGCTAGCAGCACTCCTGTTGCTGCAGTCCCACTTACCATTTTTGTGTTTTAAAGACTTGGATCTTCGAGGGGAATTGGGGTTCTGGAATGGGAGATACCATAGCTTTGGGGAAAGGGCAACGATAAGGGGGAGCCGAGAACCCAGGGAAGGAAAAAAGATTTGACAAAGAAACATCCTCAAATTCCTACTCTTTTCTCCCCAGTAAAAGGCATGTCTGCCTATAACCCCTCCCCCACACCTCCAAAACTTCTGAAGCTTTCCTGCCCACCAGACACCCTCATCCCCAAACCCAGGGAGCCCCCGCTCCCCCGCCACCATGACCTCAGACTTGAGTCAAGACACCAGAGGACTCCCTGCCCAAATGGGAAGGTATTTGTCCTTCGCCCAAACTTCCCCCATGCCCGCCCCGGCTCTCACCTTGTCTGATTTTCTCTTCTTGGCTGTGGGGGACAAAAAAGATAAAAGAACAGGGTTACTTGTTCTTAAGGACATTTACAGAAAAGCGCACGACACTCTCCCCCCATCGTTCATGACTATCTGCGAGCAGTGGCTACCCAGCTCCTGCTTACCCACCTTATCCCAGTGTCCCCCAAGGTTCCCCAGATCCCCAAACACC